GATATAGATATAGATATAGATATAGATATAGATATAGATATAGATAGGTAGATATGGCACGATTCACCACCAAGCTACTTTGCGACTAGCTGGGAAACAGACAGAAAATGGGAAAAATAATTCGAACCCCATAATTTCATTCGTTTTTCTACTGGCTATCTAATGCTGCCGCTGTTGTGTAGTGGATTGGGTTCAAGTCTGTTTTAACTCAACATCAAAAAGTAACAGAATAGGTTTATTCCAATAGCGGCCGCCCCTCGGCAGGCAATCGCAACCCACCGTTCGGAGCCGGCGCTGAACTGTAGGTACCTCCCCTTGCGTTTCCAAAAACTTTCCAGTTTTCACGGTAAAAATTTGAAACGAAAATGTATTTGTAATTTTTCGAGTATTCTTTTTTAATATTACTTTAATCCATCTTATCGAAAGATAGGGTATTTTAACATAGAAATTATCGATAAAAAAGGGACTTTTTAGTTTTCCGGGTTATATAAGCGTTTTAGAGCGCACAAAATCGTTGCATCGGCTATGTTCGCTTGCACGAATTAAAACATTATAGTGTGATAATTCTTACAAAGTTGTTATTTTAACTCAATATATCTCAGATGTTTGTGTGTCGATCGATTTGAAATTTTTACACAATAAACTACAAACTATTCCAAAGGACTTAGGTTTAGCAAAACTTCTTAATGCTTATAACAAACAAAACTAAAGGGGTTAAAAATTTTTTTATAACAATTGAAAGGGTGCTTTTTATTCGAAAGTTTTGTTAAAAAGTTTTAATTTTTTTTTTTTGTTTTAATACAGTATTTTAGATGAATATCTAAGGAAGTTTTTGCGAATGTTTCAGATTCAAACATCAATTAGTTTCAAAGTTATAACAATATTATTGTGACGTGCACGGTTAGCGTTTTATCGCTCTCTAAATCGCTTTATATATTGTTATTACATAAAACTAGAAGTTTATTTTTTGATTAATGATTTCTATGTAGAAAGATCTGATCTTTCGATTGAGACGACTAAAAACAATCATAAAAATGGCCATCATTGAGAAAAATTACAAATAAATTTTCGTTTCGAATTTTCACCGTGAAAATGAAAAGATTTTTGAAAACACACATAGCCCTAATGGGGATATCCCGTACAAAAATCTATAGAAATCATAGTTTTTGAATATTTTTCCCCCATTTTTTGTCTGCTTCCCAGCTAGTCGAAAAGTAGATTGTTTTGCACCGCTCAGCGCGCTTGAGACATTTGAAGTGAATTGCCCCAAATATATGTATATAGATTAGGTATAATAAAGCGAGTACTATCTCACAAAATGCCACTTTCGAGGCGGAAGATTAATGTGTGTATTTGTAGATATATGCTATCATACCAATGCTAACGTGGTTCAATGTTTTCCAGATATTTAATCCTTGGATGATAATTCCATCAGCAATAAAATCAAATTCGTTTTAAATGAATCCAATGCGCACATGTTTTGTCAAACAAATATTTTTTCCTGAACTTGCGACTTCTTTAATTGACTATTAAATACGACTACTTCCGACACTACTTTGGCTTTCTGTTTGTAGATAGTATCTAGTTTCGTAGCTTTTCAATTAAGAAACCTGAGTCTTAGATGCACAAATAACACGACACATAAACAGAAAGTATTGTACTTTTATTCCTCAAAAGGGAAACGTACCATAACTTGGTTTTTAACAATTACAATAGAACTTCTTAGACATTTCGAACAAAAATTTATTTAATTCGCAAAGCACCCCCAGTGCCATTTGAGTGTTGCTTTGTTAGATTTTTTGAAGCAAGCAAAGGGTGGATTAAACTCAAGAACGGGAAAAGAAAAAATGCGCCGATAGGGGTCACAAATTTTTACGATCTGCGCATCTATGTCACAATATCAATACGATATTTAAAACTTTCATATGTACGAGATGTAAGCAAAAAGGCAAATATGTATATGGGCAAATCTAAAAAACAGGTAACCTTGGAGTTATTTAGCTTTATTTTCACTGTTGGAAACTATATCAAGCTGGTTGCTTTTGAATATAACTCATTGACTTATACTTGAAGCCTCAAAAAAGATTTGGATCAATTTGCTGCATAACTTTTGAATTATAGGTGTTTTAATTTAAAAAAATAATGAAACAAGTGAATTTTTTATGTAATTTTTAAGAGGGGCAAAATTAATTGTGTCATAACTTTTGAAGCACAACATATTCTCATTTGAAATTTAATGTGCATTTAGCACTTATGTGTATACTTCATATGTAGTAGGTAAGAAAAGTGTGCATTAAAAAATAACGAAATGGCAAGTAACTCAAAGTCTGTAACTCCACATTTCACCATTTTCAACATTTTCGGTTTATCGCGTATAGTTTTTGAAGCATTTAATTTTAAGAACTTTTTAAGTATGTATCGTATTCTACAAACAATTACGAATAATTTGACAACTTAGCAATAGGTGTGCTTTCAGAATAAACCATGTTTTAAAGATAAAATACTCTGCGATCTCGAGCGTAATTTTTATTCCAAAAATATCTTATTTGAAGGCACATTTGGAAAATAGGTTAGGTTAGGTTAGGTTGAAGTGGCTGCTAGGCCCAGAGGGCGCCAGCACACTTAGGCCCGATCAGGGCCCATTGTGATACCACATGGATCCAAAGAAAACCCCTATTCCTTAAACCAGTTTGTGGAGTCTGCAAACCTTAGTAACTGCCGTATTCCAAACTTAGCAGTCGCGCTTAGGTCGTCTAGAAGACCTATACCTAGGAATTTCTGTCTTTTCCTGCCCAGTGCTGGGCAATCGCAGAGTAAGTGCCTTATTGATTCAGGCTCTTCTTCGTCGTGGCAGCTCCTGCAGTAGTCGTTGTGACCAACCCCGAGGCGTTCTGCGTGCCTTCCTATCAGAATATGTCCTGTGAGCAGACCAACGGCCAGTGACATATCGCCTTTATTGAGAGTGAGAATTTCTCTCGATCTCCGTACATCCCATTTTGGCCATGTAAGCTTTGTTGTATTACAGTTTTCAGTGCGCTCCCATCTGGAGGCCGCTTCTTCAAGGAAGTTCTCCCTTAGTAAGAGCTTGCAGGAAGCGAGTGGCATACCCACCCTCTTCCAGGCTGGTGAAAGTGGAGAGCAAGTACCCGCCCTTGCAAGCTCGTCTGCCTTCTCATTTCCTGGTATGTCACTGTGCCCCGGTACCCATACCAGGTGCAAAGCGAACTGCTCTGCCATCACGTTAAGTGATTTGCGGCAGTTGGCAACTGTTTCCGAATTTATAGTGACAGAGTCAGGCGCCATAAGGGCCGCCTGACTGTCTGAGTATATATATATTTCCGTAGTGGCGATAACAGCTAGTTTTAAGCTGTCAACGGCTTCTTGTATGGCTGCCAATTCGGCTTGAAAGACACTACAGTGGTCAGGTAGTCGGAATGATCTTTTTATTCCCAATTTCTCCGCGTAGACGCCTCCTCCTTCCCTATTTTCTAGTTTGGAGCCGTCCGTGTAGAATCTTATGGCATCTCTATACCCCGGAACTCCTTCGAGCCATGATTCCCTGCTAGGTAGCGTTACGCTATAACCTTTAGTGAAAGTGAGCCTTGGTACACAGTAGTCCTTTGTACTCGGTAGTTGTCGGTTTCTCAGAATTGTAGTGTGACCACAGCGAGCCGCTTTCCAGCTTTTAAGCCCCTGTAGTCTTAGCGCTGCAAACGCAGCGTATTGTCGTCCCATAATATCTATGGGTATGATGTTGAGGATCGTATTCATTGCCATAGTAGGTGTTGTGCGGAGAGCACCACTAATGCAGATCAGAGCCGTTCTCTCCACTTTTTGTAATTTAATAATGTTTACATTCTTCTCCAGCACTGGCCACCATACCACTACCCCGTACAGAAGTATGGGCCTCACCACGACGGTATATATCCAGTGCACTAGCTTCGGGGTTAAACCCCATTTTTGGCCGATTGCTCTCCTGCAGCTGTATAGGGCAACCGTGGCCTTCCGCACCCGCTCTTCGGTGTTTTGAATCCAGCTTAATTTTTTATCTAGGACTATCCCCAGGTATTTAGCGGATTCGCTTAATTTTAGTGTGGTCTGTGGCAGCCTTGGTGTTATCAATGGGGGGATTTTGTACCTTCTTGTGAACAGTACAAGTTCTGTCTTGCTTGGGTTTACCCCTAACCCGTTATTTTTTGTCCAACTCTCGACTTCCTTCAGTTTTACCTGCATAATGTCACATACAGTCTGTGGAAATTTCCCACTTACTGTTAGTGCAAGATCATCCGCATACGCAATAACCTTACAGCCACCCCCCTCCATGCCACACAGCAGTGAGTTTACCGCTGCGACCCATAATAGAGGAGATAGGACTCCCCCTTGCGGGGTGCCCCTCTCTACGAACCTGGGTATATTCTTTGATGTCTAGTGATCTCTCTATATACGACACTATTTCATCTAGCGCCGTTTCTGTAGATCTACCTTTCGTATAAGCATGTTGTGTGGTAGAGAGTCTGTCACCAACCGACTCTCTGATACGGACCTCCACCAGTCTCTCCATAACCAAACATTTGGAAAATACGTCGAAACGATCTAAATATTTGTATAACTAATAGTCCTTATAACGTTGTATATACCTGTAAAATGCTTCAAAAAAATGTTCTCTAGAAGTGTGCGAAAACGCCGATTTAGTACTTTTAATTATTTTCCTTCTTATAGTCAGAATATTTCGAGCGTGGTATCAAATCAAATTTTTTTCGACAAAGGTTCTGATAGTTGCTCTTACTTAATTGGAGCCTTTTAAATTCAATCGCGTCCCCAGTTCTTCCCGATTGTCTCCAGTTTTGGAGATAGCGGTACTTGAAACTTTGCTTAAATTTTAACTATTTTATAAAAAAACTCTCTCTCTTTACTACAATTTTGCACACGCTTGTATTTTAACATTTCCTTCACCATCTCATAAAATCATCGAAATCGGTTTACTCTAAAATATAGCTCCCATACAACTGACTGACCAGAGACGTTGTTTTGCGTTATAACTCCTCCAATTAAGCATGTAAAAATTTAGTATAGGTTCACTTTATCATATAGCACGCATACAATTTATTATTCAGATATGAAATTAGAGTTATAGCGCAAAAACACATATCTGAGTAATCAGTTGTATTGGAGCTATACGCTAAAGTGCAACCATTTCGATAATTTTAAGGAATAATTAAGGTAATATTAAAAAACCGTTATGTGTAAAAGTTTAGTGAAATAACTTCCAAACTGATGGAGTAATTTATAAAATAGTTCAAATTTAATCAAATCTTCAAATACCGTTATCTCGAAAACCGGAGCCAATTTGGTAAAACGGGAGATGCCATTGAATTAAGAACGTCCCAATTAAGTGAGTACAACTTTCAAAATCTTTGCTCAAATTTTACAACTTGAACAACGTAATTTGAACCCAGCTTATTCTTTTGTTTTCTATTTCATGTTTATTCCTCGTCTAACTTTTGAAGCACTTGATGAAAATGAATTACACTTATATTAATCGATTCATTAAGAGAGTACGAATAAAATAATATATAAGACATAGGTGTGCTCACAAATTTAAAAATAAACATTTTTTTTTGGAGAGTGTAACTATTTTTTAAATTTGCCCATATACTTGAACTTATGCAAATAAGTCTACGGTATCGGAAAAGAAGTAATTTAATTGTGGGTTACTTTTCCAAATCAATGATTAATATTATCCTTAATATTGCATGCGGCCAAGAAGATATTCCAGTCTGCACAATTAAGATGCAACTTCAGTCAGCTTGACAGTGCTAAATATGCATTCGCGGACTTAGTTATAAATATGTTCAACAAGTAACTTGAAAACGTAGTAAGATGGTTGTAGTATATCAATAGGAGGCAACGAATTTTCCACATATTGCAAACAAAGTATTGTGTAAGCATCGAATCCAGAAGAGGGAATTTTTACCGTTTTGCGGGAAATTTCAACACAAAAGGAATGGCGGGAACAATGGTCGTAAAAACGGGGAAACTGGTGTTCGCCGTGTCAATAAATATCCTACTAAGAGCCAAGAGTAGCCCCTCGAGAGTTCTAGCTAAAACTATAATAAAGTTTTTTGTCCAACCAATAGTAAAAAAGTTATAAGCTAAAACAAGTTTTAGTTAGAACTCTCGAGGGGCTACTAAGAACTCTCAACAAAACTCTGAAAAAAACTAATTAAATTTTTGTGTTAATAAAAATTTGACTCCTGCTTTGTTATTACTTTTTTACTAATGGCCGGACAAAAAAACTTTATAAGAGGTTTAGTTAGAACTCTCGAGGGGCTACGCAGAACTCTTAACAGGACTCTAAAAAATAAGTGAAATCATTTGTAGCCAAGAACTTCTCAACAGAATTCTGAAAAACAAATGAAATTTTGGTTAATAAAAATTTTCCGCTTGTTTTTGCTTATAACTTTTATACTATTGGTCGGACAAAAAAACTTTATAAGAGTTTTAGTCAGAAACCTCGAGGGGCTACTCAGAACTGTAAACAGAACTCTGAAAAAGCAAATAAAGTTTTTGTGTTAATAAAATTTTGCCCCTTGTTTTTGCTTATAACTGTTTTACTATTTTCCCTTGCTTTTGCTTACAACTTTTTTAATGTTGGTCGGAAAAAAAAACTTTATAGTAGTTTTAATTAGAACTCTCGAGGGGCTACTCAGAACTCCGAAAAACACATGCAATTTTTGTGTTAATAAAAATGTGCCCTTGTTTTTGTTTATAACTTTTTTACTATTGGCCGGATCA